CTCCCGTATCGGATAAACTCTACGCCATATATATATATATATATATATATATATATATATCATGCTCGACTTTTGCTCCATAAAATCTTCCATCTACACAGTTAACCCTGGACAAAATCAATAGGTTCTGGCAAAATTCCAGCGACTATCTTAGCTAGAACCAATGAGATCGTTGTTTCCTTGCTTGCAAGATACGGCAGTGAAGCATCGATGTTGAACACTGATGTCATGCTGTCGATGATGAGTATGCTTGCAAGAATTCGTTAAATAAGCCTCAACAGAGGCCAGCCTCAGAACGGCTGGAAATATTGAATGTTAAGCCACGATAATAGATCCCAGCACAACTACAACACTCGAAATTCCCTCAATCACAACTTTGATCACGAGTAGTATAATGAAAGACTTATCAGTAATAGGGATCTTTTTATCACCTCACAGGATAGGTTCACTACTATTTTACTGATCGTAGCAACTGACCGGTCAACGTAGCACGGTAAGTCAACCCCAGAAATGTTATCTAAATCTGGGGGCTTGACAAGCTCAATCATAGCAGGCTCTAGCCAAATCCGCACTCCTCGGTACACCCGTGTTATCTGCAAAACCCACGCGTCCTCATTAGGTTTAACAGAACTCGATCGAAGTCAGTCCTTTCGGTATCTCTTGGCCAGTCTAAGGCAGAGTAGAACGGGATCACTCAAGCAAATAATCAACAGTAAAGGGACAAAGTGTTCGTCAGTATTTGACTCAAGGTCAAATGGGTTAGGATGTGACCGTATAGCTACATGAGCACTGGTGTTCTTACAGTGTTTCTGAACACAATTTAAGCCTGCCAATAGCTTTGTCAGTGGTTCCTATGTGATCTAGTTGTTTTTTGCAACCTGCATTGGACTCTGGACAACGTCAATCTGGCGTCCTGCGTCAAGCAGGCAGACGAAAATCGAGCTGTTATTTGAGGAAGTCTTCAAGCATCCATTGGGTAGCTGCTTCCTCGTTCGATCAATATGCATGACTTCACAGAGGCAAGTAAATTGATAAATATGCAAAAGTGGTTTAGCCAGTGCGTGAGTGCGTTAGGCGATTCTAACCTCGACCGCATTGGAAAATTCTTACAAAAGTTTTGAGTACGTGGACCCGAATGTTATTGGCCAAGTCGTTTTTCAAGGACGAATGCAGATAAAAATGGTTACAGAGTACTTGAATATTGCATGTTTGAGTGGTCAGGGTTGTAGGTGTTTCTGTCTGGATAACCATCCTCTCAAAATTCTACTTCCTCTACCAGGGTATCTTCCAAACGGATCTACCTGGCTATTGTCACAACGGCGTAGTAAGTTTTGCATGCTCTTCAATGGAAGCAAACCATTAAAGCGACTAAAACCTTCAACCTGGTTGCCTTCGTCAACCGTGACAGAGCTCCGTAACCAGATTTTGAAAAACCGTTGTTGACTTCGTCTGATATCTCTTTTTAGCAGATAGGCTAAAATTAAACTATTATTGACAAGCTACTGTCCTGTGGAAAGAACTCAGCGGAATAGGTTTAGGCATCAATTTTGATAGTTTGACGGGAGCAGATACATGAATAAACACTCATAGAAATGTTTCGATGGGGAGGCTTGTCCTTCAGGTAGTACCTGATGAAAGGGCGAGTGATAAAAATGACTTCAAAAACATTGGGTCGGGATTACACTGATCTAGTCAGCTGAGAAGAGCAAACATAGGTATTAGTGTGTCTGAGATACATCATGGTACGCAGCATGTTCGAGAGTTCTGAGGTACAGATGTTTCTCCAGAACTTATAATTAAGATACCTCACCAATAACAACTTCCTAGTACAAGTTGACAGGACAACATACACTACAGAGCGGTGTGTCTTAATTAATCACTTACTATTTGGTATCATACTGTATGTTATATATATGTATATATATGAGGTGAGCTGACGTCCGTTTTCAGATTGGCTCGTCACATCGAAGTACACCAACGGACACCCGCGAGTGACAGGTAGTGAATGCTACGTACAGTTTTCGTTGAGCTGCATGTACTTAATCACTGTATATTGTTGTCAAGGCGAATAGATAGTCTCAGCTACGGGACACGTTTCCGTTTCTGGTCTTCGCAGATGGCGTGCTGAAATACCACAAATGCCTCGTTTCGTGTGAGGCAATATTTGTTTTCCCATATAAACATCAAGTTCATCTAAGCTTATCTGCTATTTACATATAAACAAGTAACTTTTACTGTGAAGAGAACATACAGTTAGTTAGCTTTTTTATGAAGTTGAACAAAACGAACTTCATAAAAGATACTACTTTTTGGGAATTTCTCCGATGCATGTAAATATGAAAGTAAAATCCCTTTTCATCTACGCATATCGAGGATGATGATGTATGAGTCTAAAAAAGTATAAGGTTTCCACGTTTTCCCCAGAACTAGGTATCTTAGATGGTAAACACAAAAAGCAACTTGTACCGTTCAATGTTTCTACTGTTGGGAAACTGCAAGCGGTTGTTTCTTTCATCTCCTTGAGCTTCTTACGATGTCTGTTGATACGGCGTGAGGCACCAAATTCATTCAACTGGTAGAAATTACTTGAACAATTTTATTTACAAGCGTAATGATTACGATGTCTGCCTTTACCAATACCGCATCGCTTCGGTCACGATTGGGATATCACGTACTTAGTGAGTGAATAGGCAGTTTGAATGCAGACTTGGATTGATGCCACACTGATACGGTACCGAACGCAACTGCGTTCTTCACCAATTGCGTTTTCACATCAGCATCCGGT